CCTTTTCAATATTTCCTAGGATATTTCATTTTTCTGGGAGAGGGCTGGATGATAACTTCCCACACAACCAAGAAGTTGATTCTTGGTTGCATTCCTACAGCACAATTCGTACACACACACACACACACACACACACACTTTCCCATGTACTGCCTACCATCCTTGTCCCAATGTTTCTTTTTATTCGTATCCATTTCATGTATCCAAAATCATCTTTATACATATATATGTTGTCTTAATACATGCTTGAACGAAATAAATAAATAAATAAATAAATAAATAAATAAATAAATCTCTTTACAGTATTTCTCAAATGTATAAGCCAAGTATACCAATGCAATAAAATATACTTTTGTGTTGGAGACAATTGTAATACAATTTTGTGAGTTATTTTTTGAAGCTTAAAACATACACCCCGAATCAGGAAATGGGCAATTTCTAAATACAATAAACAACTAAACGCACACAAAAAATGTCTGCTACAAGAAAAAACTGGGCTAACGATACGCTCAATGTGCAGTATTTTTGGAGATATAAAATGTGTTTATACAGGTCAAAATATGCACATGCATTGAGAGGCAAAAGTGATTGCCCAAAATGCACACATTAAGAAATAAATATATTTTTAAAGTATTAAAAAAACCCAAGTACTTCTGGCCAATTCAATCTAAACTTAACTATAGTTTGTGTTTATTATGATTTATGAAGTCTGCCTTCACAAAGCACACTAAATCCACAATTTTAAGCTATGTGGACTTCAACTCCACAATTCCCCGGCCCTGCATGAACTCGGGCAGGGCCGAAACTACAACTCCCGAAAGCCTCTGCCAAAGTAAGGCCGCCATCTTGGCCTTCAGGCGTCGTCGACGTTGGCCGGGAACGGAAGCGGACGAGCGCGGTGACGTCATCACCGCCGCCTTCCGGCTTCCTTTCTCTTGCGTCCCCTCTGCCGCTCCGCCCTCTTTTTTTTTTGCTTCTTGTTCTTCTTCTTGTTCTTCTTCTTCCTATCTCCCGTCGTGCTTTGCGGCGGCAAGGCGACGCCAGGAGGCCGTTAAGAGCCGCTCGCGCCCGGGGCCTCCCTCCCTTTCTTCCCCCACTCTCTCTCCCCCCTCCCGCCGTTACCAAGGAGACGCGAGTCCCTTCGCCGCCGCCGCCGCCATGTCGGCCCAGGCCCAGATGCGAGCGCTGCTCGACCAGCTGATGGGCACGGCCCGGGACGGTGAGTTGTGGCGGGCGAGGCGGGGGCCTGCAGGAAGGAAGGAAGGAAAGCAAAGATGGAAGGCCGCGCCCTCCGGCTCCGCCGTGGACGCTTTCGAGGCGAGGCCTGGATGAGGCGACCCGCCGCCGCCGCCTCTCCCCTCCCCCCAGCTCCTTTTGGTCGCGCTTCTCGTTCGCCCGACATCCCCCCCCCCCCGGTCGCCATCTGCCTTTGCTGGGCTTCCCTGCTTGGTCCGACGAAGTATTTCCTCCCCTTGACAGGGACAGGCAGCCATTGCTTCTCTATACAACCCCCTCCCATCTATCTATCATCTATCTATGTACCGTCTGTCTATATGTAACTATCTCTTATCTATGTATCTATATCTCATATCTATCTATCATCTATCTCAAAATCTATATCATCTGTATCTAATCTATATCTATCCATCTATATATATCATTAATATCTATCTATATCTCTATATATATCGATATCTTATCTATCTATCGTCTGTCTAAATATTCACCTCTATGTATGTATATATATTTATCTATATCTAATCTATCTCTAAATCTATATCATCTACATCTAATCTATCTCATTTATATCATCTATATCTCTATATCATCTATATCTAATCTAGCTATCTATATCATCTATATATCTAGCTATCTATATCCAGCTATCTAAATCTATAGCATCTATATCTATCTAGCTATCTTATCTAATCTATCTTTATCTTATCTATTCTATCTAGCCTATCTAGCTACCTTCATTATATAGATGATAGATAGATAGAAATCCCCCCCCCAAATAATACCCGTGCTGTTGATTTTGGGGTTCCCCTGAGGGTGAACCCCTGAAGGCATTCCAGGGCTGGAGAAGGCTGTGTGGAGGATCAAGAGCTTCCCTTAAAAAAAAAAATTAGAAAAGACATTTATTTTTTATTTATTTTAATTGGGGAGGGGGATTTTGTGATTAACACAGGTTACCTGGCTGGAGCCCTTGGGTTGGTTCTGCCTGGGAGGTTGAGGGGAGGGGAAACACACACACCCCCCCCCTCTCAGCCTAAAATGCCAGCCTGGGGTTTGATCTGCCTACCCAGCTATCTAAATCCAAGAAATAAATTTAAATAAATAAATAAATGAGAAAGGCTCTGGAAATAGGGAAAGCAGCCAGTGTCACCTCATAGGAAAGATGGGTGGTATAAAAATGTAATCCCTCTGTCCAGCCACCCATTAAAGGCCCCCTGTTGCTGCAGGTAGGGGAATGTCACTTGAAAAGAGAAGGATCCCTTCTACTTGAGTTGGTGGTATTAAGTATGCCAGCTTAGCAGAGCTTCCAAATCCACAGTGTCAGTGTAGTCCTCGACTTACGACCACAGTGGAGCATGTTTCCCTTGCTAAGCAAGGCAGTTGTTAAATAAGGGTCTGCCCTTTTGGCAACCTTTCTTGCTGTGCTTCTTAAGTGAAATCACTGCCGTCGTTAAGTTAGCCGCACGGTCGTGAAGTGAATCTGGCCTTCCCCATTGACTCTGCCTGTCAGGAGGTCGCAAATGGGGATCCCGTGACCCAGGCATATGGCAGCCGTCATAAATATGAGCCAGTCACCAAGCATTGTGAGTTTTGATCACGTGACTGCGCGGGGATTCTGGAGCGGTAATAAAAGTGTGAAAAAAATGGTTCTAAGTCGTAAGGGCCATTGTGGCTCCGAACAGCCAGTAAATGAATGGTCGTAAGTCGAGGACTGCCTGTAATTTAGAATGGTTGGAGGGGGAAGAAAGATCAGGGAGAGCTGCTGTTTTCGGTGCTCTTCCAATGCGCTTTCCAACAGGCATTGTGGTAGCAACCAAATGCCCAGAAATGGACTTTAGCCTTTGGCAAAGTTCTTGTTTGGGTTTATGCAGCCCATCTTCAGCCAAAAGGAAACTAAACATGAGAGCAAAACAAAGGCAGCTTTTGAATGGCAAACCAGTCAGGCCGGTTTGTCAGTGTAGCAGCCTGGCCAGTGTAGGTGGCATTAGTCCTAGTAACATGGGTGGCAAAATGGGTTTCAGCTCGGCTCCTGGTGACAGGTGCTCAAGCAGGATAGACAGGTCCCCCCTGGCACCTGCGTCATCCCATCTTCTTGCTACCTGAGTCCAGCTACCTGCTCAAGCAGGTGGTGGGGTTCTTGATGTAACATCTGATGCCTGGAAACATCTGCTCAGGGATATAAAACATGGGTACAGATGGTATGAAGGGGGACAAACGGGCTTTAGAAATGACATGGGATTTGGTGTACGCTGTATGTTTTATAGGGCTTTCTGGAAAGGGTTGGCAGGGAATACATATTAACGCTGATTTTTTATAACTTGGACCATTGAAACTGCCTATAAGACATAAGGCTTTATACACCCCAGATACGTCGGCTGGAACTCTACGCCATGAGTTAAAAGCCCGACTTCTGGTTTTACGTGGTGAGGCTTTTCTTTTGTAGACTCGCCTGTAGACCTAAGGCTTCGTGTGTAAAAAACAAAACACGAAGGTAGGCCTGTTCTGCATGGAAACAGGGCTTTAATATGTGCCCCAGAAATATATATATATATATATATAATGTATATATATTTCCCTTGAAAAGCTGTGCATTACTGACAAAGTTTGTATTTGCTTCCCTACTGGAAATCAGCCACTGAAAGTCTGGCACCTTTGCAAAAATCCTACAGATAACTTTTTGCACTTGGTTTCGTAAATGAATAAAGTGCTCGTTCTTTCTTTGTGTAATTTGAGTTGTTTTTTTTAATTGCTTCCCATATTTTTATTTCATACAAACTGAACAATTGTGGCCCCTCTATTTTATTTATAAAGGTTCAGTGTATCTTTGCCTGCCTACCTCAATCTGCAAGGGAGTTGCAGAAAAGCCTCATGTTCATCGAGCCGTGAGTCACAACCAATTTTTAAAGCTGTTATAACAAAAAAAAAGTGTTTGCTGCTTTTTTTCACAAGTAACTTTAAAAGTATAGTTTAGAAAAGAAGGAAAGAGAGAGAGAGAAAAAAACATTTTCAGTAGACACAACCGGATGCTTGCAAATCCTGATCTATAATCATACACAGACTAGCTTTTTAAGAACAATTGTCACATACCATTACCACTTTGCCTTTACTTTTTATGTATCATTCCCCTGACTTCCTTACTGCAGGTTTGGGCAAGAAAACTTTTCCTTTAAAACTTTTCAACAGCGGGCATAAAATTCTGCAGCTGAGGTCTTGAAGAATGCAGATGGGTATTGTATGTGTTGGAGCTCGCAGTGTGTATCAACTAATTTTTTTTTTTTTTGCTTGTTTTAAATGGCTCCCAAATGAGGGTGGGAAAAAGGGAGGCATAAGACAATTATCACTTTTTAGAGAAAAGTCCGGTAGCCTTTAGACATTCAATATGTGTTAATACGTATGAATCATTGGTATTTAATAAAAAAGACACATGATTCATAAATGGCTGCCTAGTAAAATTTCTGGGTGTGATTCACGGCCTTCAGCTAGAATGGGTTTTGGTTTTCCGAACTTTTGTTTTCTCTGTAGAAAAGATCTTCCGTGGTCTGGACCCAAGATTGTGTGTGTGTGTTTTTGTTTTTTAAATGTAAATATCGTGACTGTCGATGTAATTATGGTCAGCACCGTTTTTAGCGGTGCACGTGATATGAAATGCTGTGCCTAGTTTGATTCTCAGCTGTTGAAAGAAAAAGTAAAAAAGAAAACCTATAACTTAACCCTTTATAATTTTCCGATCAGTTCTGGGGTTCGTGAATGAATTGTATCTGCATAATGAAGCAAAATGAAACGTACCGTAATTTACTCGGCTTCGTCAACGTGTAACAATATTTCATATTTATAACCCAAAATGAATTTCAGGAGATGAAACCAGACAAAGGGTGAAGTTTACAGATGAACGGGTCTGCAAGAGCCATCTTCTAGACTGTTGCCCTCACGATATTTTAGCAGGGACGGTAAGTCCTCTTTCTCACCACACTCGTTTTGCTCACTGTTTTATGTCAGCATTCCTCAGCCTGCTCCTTTCGCTATATCTGTTAGTTCGTTTGTCAAACAGGTACAAGACAACAAGTATAGGTATGAACATGAAGATGAACAAAGGAAGTAAATACAGATAAATGGGGACAGTAAGATAGGGACGGTAGGCACACTGGTGGGCTTATGCACGCCCCCTTTACGGACCTCTTAAAAGAATGGGGTGAGGTCCATGGTAGACAGTTTGAGGTTGAAGCTGTGAGGGTTTGAGGATGTAACGATGAAGTCAGGTATAGCATTCCAGGGACTGACCACTCTGTTGCTGAAGTTCTATATTTTGCAATCGAGTTTGGAGCAGTTTACCTTGAGTTTGTATCGATTATTTGCCTGTGTATTATTGTGGTTGAAACTGAATAAATTATTGACAGGCAAGACGTTGTAGCAGACTATGCTTAGATTGGATCGTAGATGGCGTAGTTCCAGATTGTCCAAGCCCAAACTTTCAAGCCTGGTGGCATAGGGAATTCTATTGTGAGTAGAGGAATGGAGGACTCTTCCCGTGAAATACCTCTGAACCCACTCAATCATGTTAATGTCTGATATACAGTGTGGGTTCCAGGCGAACTAGCTGTATTCAAGAATTGGTCTGGCAAAGGTTTTGTATGCCCTAGTTAGCAATACCATGTGACCAGAGAAGCAGCTTCACAAAATTAGGTTAACAACTCTTAATGCCTTTTTGGCAATGCTGCTCTGGCCACTTAGATCATTAGAAATGAGTACTCCCAGGTCCTCGACAGAGTATTCAGTTGCCACTCCCGAGATTTCCCAGTTGTTGTGGTTAGTGGCCGTGATGGATAGAGGCACAGGTAGTCCTTGACTTAGGACCACAATTGAGCCCGCTGTTTCTAAGCGAGACAGTTGAGTTTTGCCCCATTTTATGACTTCTCTTGCCACAGGTAAGTGAATATGGTTTCCCCATTGACTTTACTCATCAGAAGGATCGGCAAAAAAAAATAAAAAATCACATAACCCCGGGATACTGCAGATGTCATAAAATAAGAAGAACCAATTTCCAAGTGTCCAAATTTTGATCGCATGACCATGCAGATGCTACAACAGTCGTAAGAAATGGTCATGTCACTTTCCCCCCAAGTGTTCTAACCTTGAACAGTCTCTAAAACAAACTGTTGTAAGTTGAGGACTACCTGTATAGGACTCAAAGTCAATAATTTCTAGAGGGCACAAAGTTGGAAGAAGCGATTGGTTTCACACTTGGAATATGCTCTCCAGAACTGTGTCCCTAAATCAAAAGAGAAATTGCTGTCCCGTTGCAAGCTCTGATATCTGAGAAATACGAACTTTTAAACATGTTCAACTTTATTTAACTTTCATGCTTTAAAGTACTAACTTTAAAATATGTATTTATTACAATGGCGATCGAATGTGGTATGACAATATTAAAACATTTCTAAAAGGCAATAAAGATATAATAGGCCATCACAATTTGAGAAAATGTAAAAAAAATTTTTTTGTTGCTGCTGCTGATAGAGAAAGAAGTGTCCTTTTAAAAGGCAGGAGCTCAAATCATATCAAGTGAACTGCAACCCAGAAGAGAGAACCAGCCCTTTGTAATACGATGCTGTTTGTTTGGGTTACATGAAGCTTTGGAGTCATTTTCAAAAGTGTTTGTGTGTGTGTGTGTGTGTGTGTGTGTGTGTGTGTGTGTGTGTGTGTGTGTGTGTG